GTCGCGCCGGCATCGCCCCGGCGCCTCCCTTACCAGAAGAAGTAGTGGGTGATCTTGAGGTCGCAGATGGCTCTCTTCATGAGGAAGCGCACCAAGGGGCTGTCCAGGTAGCACTCGTACTTCAGCGCCTGGGGGAGGAGATGGGATGTGTGTGAGGGCACCGTCACGCCGGGCGCCCGGGCGCCGCGGGAGCCGCCGCTCACCTGCACCAGCTGGGGCAGGTAGTCCAGGAGCTCCGTGTCGGAGATGGAGTCGATCCACTGCACCGCCGTCCTGCGCACCTCCTGATCCGGGAAGCTGCGGCCGGAGCGCGCGTCACCGGCACAGCGGTGCCCGGCGCGCGCCCGCTCCCGCAGCTGCAGCCCGCGGTGCCCCTCAAGCCTTGATGGCCCCGGGGTCCGTCAGCCCCTCTTGGTGGCCGCTTACGTGGCGTGCAGCAGCCCCAGGGCGTCCTGGTGGTTCACGTCGCTCCACTGCTTGAGCAGGGCGTAGATGTCGGGCAGGCAGGCCCACTCCCCGCTGTCCCTGCTGGGCGCGCTGGCCAGCAGCATGGGCAGCGCGCTGGCCTCCGCGTGGCAGTAGTAGCGCTTCTCCCAGAGCCGCTTCCGATCGGCGTCCGTCAGCCTAGGGGAGCGGGAGGGCAGCGGGACGCGGTGGCAGCAAGAGGATGGTGCAAATACCGCGGACTGCGGCATCCCCCTGCGCCCGGCGCGCCGCGGTGCGTTCGGGGCTGCGGAGGAGCTCACGGAGGGGAGATGCGGGATGCGCCGTGTCACAGGGAGCGGGAGGGATGTGCCGTGCCGCAGGGAGCGAGGGGACACCCGGGATGCACCGTGCCGCAGGGAGCAGAGGGGACATGCGGGATGTGCTGTGCTGTAGGGAGCGGAGGGGACACCCAGGATGCGCCGTGCCACAGGGAGCGGGGGGACACGCGGGACGCCGTGTCGCAGGGAGCAGAGGGGACACGCGGGATGTACCGTGGTGCAGGGAGCAGGAGGGACACGCGAGATGCGCTGTGTCACAGGAGCAGAGGGGACACGCGGGATGTGCCGTGCTGCAAGGAGCGGAGGGGACACGCGGGATGAACCGTGCTGCAAGGAGCAGAGGGGACACACGGGACGCACTGTGCTGCAGGGAGCAGGAGGGATGTGCCGTGCCGCAGGGAACAGGGGGGACACCCAGGATGCGCCGTGCCGCAGGGAGTGGAGGGGCACCCGGGACGCACCGTGCTGCAGGGAGCGGGAGGACATGCGGGACACGCCGTGCCGCAGGGAGTGGAGGGACACGCGGGACGTGCCGTGTTGCAGGCTGCAGGGCAGAGTGCAGAGGGATGCAGAGCACAGGGATGCAGAGCACAGCGGGATGCAGAGTGCAGAGGGATGCAGAGCACAGGGATGCAGAGCACAGCGGGATGCAGAGTGCAGAGGGATGCAGAGCACAGGGATGCAGAGCACAGCGGGATGCAGAGTGCAGAGGGATGCAGAGCACAGGGATGCAGAGCACAGCGGGATGCAGAGTGCAGAGGGATGCAGAGCACAGGGATGCAGAGCACAGCGGGATGCAGAGTGCAGAGGGATGCAGAGCACAGGGATGCAGAGCACAGCGGGATGCAGAGTGCAGAGGGATGCAGAGCACAGGGATGCAGAGCACAGCGGGATGCAGAGTGCAGAGGGATGCAGAGCACAGGGATGCAGAGCACAGCGGGATGCAGAGTGCAGAGGGATGCAGAGCACAGGGATGCAGAGCACAGCGGGATGCAGAGTGCAGAGGGATGCAGAGCACAGGGATGCAGAGCACAGCGGGATGCAGAGTGCAGAGGGATGCAGAGCACAGGGATGCAGAGCACAGCGGGATGCAGAGTGCAGAGGGATGCAGAGCACAGGGATGCAGAGCACAGCGGGATGCAGAGTGCAGAGGGATGCAGAGCACAGGGATGCAGAGCACAGCGGGATGCAGAGTGCAGAGGGATGCAGAGCACAGGGATGCAGAGCACAGCGGGATGCAGAGTGCAGAGGGATGCAGAGCACAGGGATGCAGAGCACAGCGGGATGCAGAGTGCAGAGGGATGCAGAGCACAGGGATGCAGAGCACAGCGGGATGCAGAGTGCAGAGGGATGCAGAGCACAGGGATGCAGAGCACAGCGGGATGCAGAGTGCAGAGGGATGCAGAGCACAGGGATGCAGAGCACAGCGGGATGCAGAGTGCAGAGGGATGCAGAGCACAGGGATGCAGAGCACAGCGGGATGCAGAGTGCAGAGGGATGCAGAGCACAGGGATGCAGAGCACAGCGGGATGCAGAGTGCAGAGGGATGCAGAGCACAGGGATGCAGAGCACAGCGGGATGCAGAGTGCAGAGGGATGCAGAGCACAGGGATGCAGAGCACAGCGGGATGCAGAGTGCAGAGGGATGCAGAGCACAGGGATGCAGAGCACAGCGGGATGCAGAGTGCAGAGGGATGCAGAGCACAGGGATGCAGAGCACAGCGGGATGCAGAGTGCAGAGGGATGCAGAGCACAGGGATGCAGAGCACAGCGGGATGCAGAGTGCAGAGGGATGCAGAGCACAGGGATGCAGAGCACAGCGGGATGCAGAGTGCAGAGGGATGCAGAGCACAGGGATGCAGAGCACAGCGGGATGCAGAGTGCAGAGGGATGCAGAGCACAGGGATGCAGAGCACAGCGGGATGCAGAGTGCAGAGGGATGCAGAGCACAGGGATGCAGAGCACAGCGGGATGCAGAGTGCAGAGGGATGCAGAGCACAGGGATGCAGAGCACAGCGGGATGCAGAGTGCAGAGGGATGCAGAGCACAGGGATGCAGAGCACAGCGGGATGCAGAGTGCAGAGGGATGCAGAGCACAGGGATGCAGAGCACAGCGGGATGCAGAGTGCAGAGGGATGCAGAGCACAGGGATGCAGAGCACAGCGGGATGCAGAGTGCAGAGGGATGCAGAGCACAGGGATGCAGAGCACAGCGGGATGCAGAGTGCAGAGGGATGCAGAGCACAGGGATGCAGAGCACAGCGGGATGCAGAGTGCAGAGGGATGCAGAGCACAGGGATGCAGAGCACAGCGGGATGCAGAGTGCAGAGGGATGCAGAGCACAGGGATGCAGAGCACAGCGGGATGCAGAGTGCAGAGGGATGCAGAGCACAGGGATGCAGAGCACAGCGGGATGCAGAGTGCAGAGGGATGCAGAGCACAGGGATGCAGAGCACAGCGGGATGCAGAGTGCAGAGGGATGCAGAGCACAGGGATGCAGAGCACAGCGGGATGCAGAGTGCAGAGGGATGCAGAGCACAGGGATGCAGAGCACAGCGGGATGCAGAGTGCAGAGGGATGCAGAGCACAGGGATGCAGAGCACAGCGGGATGCAGAGTGCAGAGGGATGCAGAGCACAGGGATGCAGAGCACAGCGGGATGCAGAGTGCAGAGGGATGCAGAGCACAGGGATGCAGAGCACAGCGGGATGCAGAGTGCAGAGGGATGCAGAGCACAGGGATGCAGAGCACAGCGGGATGCAGAGTGCAGAGGGATGCAGAGCACAGGGATGCAGAGCACAGCGGGATGCAGAGTGCAGAGGGATGCAGAGCACAGGGATGCAGAGCACAGCGGGATGCAGAGTGCAGAGGGATGCAGAGCACAGGGATGCAGAGCACAGCGGGATGCAGAGTGCAGAGGGATGCAGAGCACAGGGATGCAGAGCACAGCGGGATGCAGAGTGCAGAGGGATGCAGAGCACAGGGATGCAGAGCACAGCGGGATGCAGAGTGCAGAGGGATGCAGAGCACAGGGATGCAGAGCACAGCGGGATGCAGAGTGCAGAGGGATGCAGAGCACAGGGATGCAGAGCACAGCGGGATGCAGAGTGCAGAGGGATGCAGAGCACAGGGATGCAGAGCACAGCGGGATGCAGAGTGCAGAGGGATGCAGAGCACAGGGATGCAGAGCACAGCGGGATGCAGAGTGCAGAGGGATGCAGAGCACAGGGATGCAGAGCACAGCGGGATGCAGAGTGCAGAGGGATGCAGAGCACAGGGATGCAGAGCACAGCGGGATGCAGAGTGCAGAGGGATGCAGAGCACAGGGATGCAGAGCACAGCGGGATGCAGAGTGCAGAGGGATGCAGAGCACAGGGATGCAGAGCACAGCGGGATGCAGAGTGCAGAGGGATGCAGAGCACAGGGATGCAGAGCACAGCGGGATGCAGAGTGCAGAGGGATGCAGAGCACAGGGATGCAGAGCACAGCGGGATGCAGAGTGCAGAGGGATGCAGAGCACAGGGATGCAGAGCACAGCGGGATGCAGAGTGCAGAGGGATGCAGAGCACAGGGATGCAGAGCACAGCGGGATGCAGAGTGCAGAGGGATGCAGAGCACAGGGATGCAGAGCACAGCGGGATGCAGAGTGCAGAGGGATGCAGAGCACAGGGATGCAGAGCACAGCGGGATGCAGAGTGCAGAGGGATGCAGAGCACAGGGATGCAGAGCACAGCGGGATGCAGAGTGCAGAGGGATGCAGAGCACAGGGATGCAGAGCACAGCGGGATGCAGAGTGCAGAGGGATGCAGAGCACAGGGATGCAGAGCACAGCGGGATGCAGAGTGCAGAGGGATGCAGAGCACAGGGATGCAGAGCACAGCGGGATGCAGAGTGCAGAGGGATGCAGAGCACAGGGATGCAGAGCACAGCGGGATGCAGAGTGCAGAGGGATGCAGAGCACAGGGATGCAGAGCACAGCGGGATGCAGAGTGCAGAGGGATGCAGAGCACAGGGATGCAGAGCACAGCGGGATGCAGAGTGCAGAGGGATGCAGAGCACAGGGATGCAGAGCACAGCGGGATGCAGAGTGCAGAGGGATGCAGAGCACAGGGATGCAGAGCACAGCGGGATGCAGAGTGCAGAGGGATGCAGAGCACAGGGATGCAGAGCACAGCGGGATGCAGAGTGCAGAGGGATGCAGAGCACAGGGATGCAGAGCACAGCGGGATGCAGAGTGCAGAGGGATGCAGAGCACAGGGATGCAGAGCACAGCGGGATGCAGAGTGCAGAGGGATGCAGAGCACAGGGATGCAGAGCACAGCGGGATGCAGAGTGCAGAGGGATGCAGAGCACAGGGATGCAGAGCACAGCGGGATGCAGAGTGCAGAGGGATGCAGAGTGGAGAGGGATGCAGAGCACAGGGATGCAGAGCACAGCGGGATGCAGAGTGCAGAGGGATGCAGAGTGGAGAGGGATGCAGAGCACAGGGATGCAGAGTGCAGAGGGATGCAGAGTGGAGAGGGATGCAGAGCACAGGGATGCAGAGCACAGCGGGATGCAGAGTGCAGAGGGATGCAGAGCGCAGGGAGGGAGAGCGCAGGGATGCAGAGTGCAGAGGGATGCAGAGCACAGGGATGCAGAGCACAGCGGGATGCAGAGTGCAGAGGGATGCAGAGTGGAGAGGGATGCAGAGCACAGGGATGCAGAGCGCAGAGGGATGCAGAGTGCAGAGGGATGCAGAGCACAGGGATGCAGAGCGCAGAGGGATGCAGAGTGCAGAGGGATGCAGAGCACAGGGATGCAGAGCGCAGAGGGATGCAGAGCGCAGCGGGATGCAGAGTGCAGAGGGATGCAGAGCGCACTGGGTTGCAGAGCACAGAGTTAAGTGCAGAGGGATGCGGAGGGCAGAGGAAGGTGCAGTGGGATGCAGAGTG